CATACTTGGTAATAAAGCTCTTCTGATTCTGTTACAGTAGACATGGGAATTGGTCCTTGTACAGCCCGTTCAAAAATACTTTCCAGGATTACAAGAGATTCAGTTAATCTTTCGACTCTACCCGATACCACTTGCCAGCAGTAGTCTGAAAGTTCAGAATCATTAGTGTCCTCAGAGAAAAAATTCTGTCAGTTGCAGACCCTTAGCTTTGAGGTTCTTTTGCACATGTTCTCCAGGAACTTTTATGACAGCAGTACAGACTTGAAGAGTTCCAATTGCTGTGATTTCTATTATTTGAATCATATTCCATACACTTTCAAGTGTCAACTTCACTATGTAGCGTTCTGTAATTACAGGGCACCCTGCTCCATAAGTGTGAAGTTTCAGCTTCCCTCTATTCACTAAACTCTCTAGCACAATACTTCTTTGACTGCCTCTGTCCAACAAGCAATGTACTTATTTTCTACCTGCAGAACCCTCTATCCACGGTTTCACAGTTTGAAGCACCACAGTTGTTTGCCCATCAGCCCTTGGTTTCACAGTGCTTGACACCAATGACACAACAGCTTCAGAACTAGAGTCTCTATCTTCTGCACTGTCATTGTTAATATTAGACTGCTTGTCATTTTTCTCACAGATGGACAAGTGATGCTTACATCCACTCTTAGCACAGGAAATTCCCTTTACCCTACAAAACTTTGATGAATGTTTAGGTCCCAAACAAACAAAACATTTCCCAATTTTTTAGGCTTGACTTTTCTAGCAGACACTGAATATTCAGAGCAATTTTCAGGATTATGATTCAGATTCTCACAATATACACAAGCCTTGGGAGCATAACTAACAATGTTCAGGGCAGCTGCAGATTAAATTTTTTGAGCCTTGGTTCATGAGTCTATTCAGATTTGGTGAAAGATCTATTGGTTAACAGCCTGTCCTTTATTGAGCTTTCTGATCTAGTAAGTTGCAGTGCTCTTTCTCTGCTTTGCACTCCATTTTGTAGAAACTGAATAAGCTCAAGCACTTTCCATTCACCACCAGAGTCCAAATTGACAAGTATAGGCTAAATCAATGTCCTCTGGCATCAACTGGAATAACAGTGAACACAAAAGACTGACATAAATGTCACATGGAACACACAGATTCCAAACTCTGAATATGAATTTCACACTCATTATATAAACGTCTACACTTAGACTCAGACTTTAGCTGTTGCGTCCTGTGTAGACACGGTGTCTCTCAGGGCCTTTATGTCTGACGATCTCTTTATGTCAAATCAAGCAATTTGCTGCTGCATCAGCTAGGTATGTTCTCAAATAAGAAAGTTTTTTTTTTCTTACACAGCGCTGCATTATTATGAATAGCGGCTTCATACTGACTCCAAAGCTCCTCCTTATTTGTCAATAACTAATTTGGGTACTCTGACGAACTGTGTTTCTGGCAATCTTTAGTGGTTTGCATTGACATGTCTTTACCCGTTTCTTGTTCGACCTATCTCTCCATCAGTCTCATTGCATGGGATTTCTACATAGTAATGCGGTCCTGGTAATCCAGCATGCTATCTTTCTCCCTCTCCAAATTGTCCGTGGGAGTTTCGTTTTCTATGATGTTTCTATGAAGATCCACCCAATTTTCCTCCTTCATTGATAACATTGACAGCAACTCATGCAATTTATCCCAGTGTAATGGTTATTTACCAATCTCCTTTTCCAACTGAGTCAGCAACTCCTCTTCTTTTTCATCCACTCTAACTGTTCTGCCATCTTTATTTAATTCACTTTCACCTCAAAAGTTCCATGTAATGTGCATGCAATTATCTTGCATGCTTTTTGGTTTGTATTTTGGTTTGTATCTAGTTTATTTAATCTTGCTTGCATTGTGTACATAATTTTTGTTTGGTTTTATATTTTGTTTATGTTCATCCTTTGTATTTGGTTGCATGCTTGTTTGTAGTGTGCATGCAGTTTTCTTATTCTTTTGTATACTGGTTGTTGCATTAGTATTTGTTTGTATTCTGTTGTTTACTTGTTTATTGGTTGACTTTAAGAAAACACATTTAACTTGTTTTTACAAGAGGAAAGGAATAAAGACCATATACTGAACCTGTGCCAGTATAATTATTTAATCGAATAGCTTGAGTGGGCTTATTTCCCCTATCAGTCTTTTATTGACTGGTATTGACTCGGTAACATTGCTAATTGTGTTTATGTAGTTAACCATGCCTGTGTCAGGATTTGTGGCTGTAGCAATCACACAACGCAGGAAATACAACAAAACAGTCTTTAATTAATCAAATTAAACACTCAGGAAACAACAGGAACAATAGTATGTGTGGGCAGGGCTTCATTGCATCCCCTCAAACTCCACTAACAGCCCCACAGGGATGGACGATTTTGTGAGTCTTGTCACTAGAACACTTTTTGTGGTGATTGGGCTTCGGGATGAAGATGACCTTTGGCTTTTGCTTGGGGTCAGGCTCTGTGGTGGGTGCAGGCTCGGGGTCTGTGGTGGTCAGTATATCCGTGCTGGGCATTGAGGATGGCCATCTACACTGACTGGACCCTCTAACACAAGCACTCTCTATTATATTTCTATTTTATCTACTTGTTTCTTTTTTATTTTAAAAACTTGACCCTCTAACACTTGCTCTCTATTCTATTTCTATTCTAACTACTTGTTTTCTTGTTTATTAAAAGAAAAAAACCTCTAGCACTAGCCTTGTCTGTTCTTTTTTTTATTATTTCGACTTGTTTTCTTTTTATTTATCATAATATAAATATCAAAATATATACTGTATATATATATATATATATATATATATATATA